TCATCATCATCATCATCATGCCCTTCGAGGATAAAAAGGCGTGATGTTATGTTATGTTAGAAACAAGATATAAAATCATCTTCGTCTCCAGTTACATAGCGGAGCACATGGAGGTGGGTGGCGCGGGGGCCTCGATCTCTACGAACTTGTACAAGACGCACGACGTGCCCTCGCTACTGACGCACCTACTGCTGCACGAACCTTGGATGAAGAGGAACGATAAGGGGGAACTGCAGACTTTTAACTGTAAGTCTGTCTCATTTGTCCAGTGGTCATAAGAGCTCCCTGGACGGTCAGTGTTGATAGGGTTTTTTCGAAATTTTGTCAGTAGTAACACGGGGTCGGAAATGAAGTAAACCCGTGCGGTATATGGCAATATGTTCTACTTGACTACCGAAGAATGCATCTCGAATTCGGATACTATCACTTCATAGATGGTCGTTGGAGCAAGCCGTCTGCGGAAGATTTGTCTCAGCTACATCGCACGGAGGCTCAGCTCTGGCTATGTGTGAGACAACTACTACTGGAGCCGAGGCTGGCCCACTACTACACCATCGATGAGTGCCGCCGGAGTGCATTCTGCAAGGTAATTTTTTATAATGCAGTAAGTAATAAGTACTATGTAGTGTCTTCCTAAGAGCCTATTTACTCTTTACGGAATTTAGGTATGTACCTATTTTGAAATTATTTGCTAAGTTTACATCCAGTGAACATTTAATTTTTATACACGTTTTCCTAGTCTAAAGTTCTGATAGATGAGAACGGTATCTATGTCATGTCACGTTACTACTGAACGGCTGAATTGATTTCGATATATCATACTTTTTGTTTTGACTTTGGTATAGCTCCTTATAAAATGAATGTACTGATATAAAATACTTTGTTTCTTTGTAATCTCTCCAGCTCCAAGCCAAGATGACGGAGCCCATGTTGGACCAGATACCACCACTTGGTGACCTGAAGATGTTCCTGTGTCGGCTGGCTGTGGGAGACTACTCCAGCATGCACAATCGAACTAACGGTGTCAAGAACCCTGGATGCACTCTCATTGAGATTGTCCCACAGGTCAACTACACTTTAGTAACGTTATATTTTAGTCATTTCTGTTGTATCCAATCCAATGCTTATTACTTATCTGTACTTTCAAGCGTGGTTTGAAACTATTTGAGTTTTACCATCCGTTGTTGTCCTTCCTATTTTTCGTATGAACGTAATAATCAATCGCAACAGGACATTATGTCAAGGTCATATATGATAAAAATTACAAGCATAACATGCAATACAATATTGAAATTTAAAAGGTTGTAAAACTTAGCTAACTTTTTTACGAAGTGCAGTTTCTTAAACTGTCAAATACCAAGCGGTCACCGGTGACCGCAACCTATTGTTCTATAATTGTGTCTACAAAACCGGTACTCGACGAGTTAAGACCAAAAATAGTATGTTTTTGGTATATTACAGATCAAAGATTCTTATCTAAAACAAGTACACAAGCGTACAAAGACCCTCGCTAAGTCCCAGCTGGAGTTATTCCACATGGACGGTTCCGAAGAGTCGCGGAATATGGCCAAGAAACTCCTGGAGTCGTACACCAGCGACACAGCGCTGGCACTGGACAGCGGCGGTGCTAAGTGCGCAAAATGTGGAGACAAGGCTACTAAGAAGTGTTCCAGATGTAAGACTGAGTGGTATTGTGGAAGGTGAGAAAAATATGGTAGTTTGAACTATCTTCTAGTACTCAGTCATTATTTCACAAATTATGTGTTTCTGTCCCAAGAATCATTATCTACTTGTAGAAGTCGTATAAAAATCTGTACAGTAATTCTTGTTTATTGTACACAAATGTTGCAAGGGAGTTGTTCAAAATCAATAATTGCAAATACACATTATAAAGTTAATGCAGTGGTATTTTCATATTTCCTTACTCCTTTGTTCCAGGGAATGCCAAGTTCAACAATGGCCGAAGCACAAGGAGATCTGTGATCAGTTTTCCAAAATATGTGTTTGAAAGTCTTGCATTGCATTTAATTTTTATAGTTTTGTTTGAATTGGAATGAGTGATTATGTTCTATTTATTGTCTAGCTTAGATTTAAATAAATATATTTATTTTAGCATTATCTGTATTAATTTCAAAGTTAGTGAAATCAAAGAGAGTGAATTAGTTTTTTTGAATTTTTATTTTATAACTTAAGCACTAGGTGGATGATTAGCTTGAAGACTTCAGGTAGTCTTTGAGCACGTCCAACGCTGGTGTCTCCTCACCGAAGTCCTGGAAACAAACGAATTTAGTTACATTTTCGTCATGTAGTCGCAACAGGTATTCCCTTCAACCAGAGACAGCAACTGCGTCCAAACTATTTAAATTAGATAGGAAATTGTTTGTATGAGTGATAGGAAAGTTGCCCGTGCAAGTGGCGCGGCACCATAGGGTCACTCGAGTTAATGTTGCGCTTGTATTTCGTCACTAACAACGATATATGTTGCTGGTGTTCGTGCTGAGCGCAATACTAAATTATGATATGGTGAAAAACATAAAATGGCTAGATGCTTCTTAGTGTACATAGGTGCTACTATTTCTGATTGATAGATGTATATTATTTATTTTCCATCATAAAGATATAAAACCCCTGTTAAAAAGGTGTGCCGAACTTACCTTGATAACTACGCACGAGCAGCCGACGATTTTCCTGGCCTTGCCGTCTTTGTCGATTTTGCAAAGTCCGGCCCATTCACCGAGCTTTTTGTTGTTGTCGACCTGTACGATACAAAATAAACTTTAAATATACATCGAATAGATACAAATATCATGAAATTGGTTATTTAGTAGTTAGATATTAGTATAAATGTTCGGGTGCTAGGAAAGTTGACTCGTCAGGGTGAGAGTCACCATAGGGGCACACGGTTTACTTTGCGCTCCGTTTGCGAAACCGATATGACAACCGGGCTCGCTCGTGCGGAGCGCATTGATATAAAAAACAAAAAGAATTCATCTTAAATCACTAATAGAGAACTACAATTAGTACAAATGTGAGTATATTACAGTTTATGGAGGATGAAAACCAAAGAAATCCGAATAGATAGTGAGAAATGATTGAGAGATAAAGGAATTTACAACATATTGTCCTCTGAGAGACAACAATGTAAAAAAAGAAGATAACAAAATACAAGCATGTTTTAGTATCTAAACTCGATTTTCATCCTCATGCTCTCAAGTATAAGATTCAATTCACCTAGTAACTAAATAATACATAAGGTTTCGATATTTACCTTCACAAGTGGGATCTGGTGTTCGTTGCAAAGAGCCTGGACGAGCTTCTTGTAGGCAGCCTCGTCGCAGTTCTCAGCAAGCACACAAAGGACAGCTTGCCTCCTGTTGTGAGAAAATCGAAATTTTTGTAAAACAGTTTAGACAAGCCATTCAACTATGTGCTGCATACAGAAATAAAAGAATGTTAATTGAAGTTGAAGTCCTCTTCACCATCACTGTTTTGGGTTTTATTGATAATTCTGTGACAAATTATTATTACCATATTAGTTAGTTCAATCTCTTAACAAATACACATTCCTTATCTTTCCTTGGCTAAATGTAGCACATATGGGAGGCCACAATGCTGACCATCAAAACAATGTGGTACTATGAATGTGCGTCACTCTCCGCATCAGAGTGTATCCCATACAACTAGACGAGCATGAGATATTTCCACAAAGTATGAAACTAGAACAGCCACACACATTGTGAATATTGTTTGTAGTTCCGATGCAGGGCCCCATTTAACAATACTATGTAGGTATGTTATAAAGTTATGTTTCATTCATTTGAATAAGTTGTCTGTGAAACATGGTAGTGTATAAAACCTTAGTATTTAATTTATTTTAGGATTAACAAAATCTCAAATCATAATCAGCAGTCTTTAGTTGTATTGAGGCACTTGTTGTGTTACATTCCGGACATGAGTTTTATGTATTCAAATTGTATTATTTTTATTATGTTTCGTGTTAGAAGTTAAATAAACAAAAGTCCACAGATATACCAAAACAAATAATTGTTCAAATGACTGGTATGAAGGATCTGTTTTGCTTACTTAGAACTATACTTTACTTTTTAAGTTTTAGTTTCATACAGACTGCAGAATTTGGTGAATCATATCACAAGGAAAAACAATCACATGGTTCTAGTGAATGAAACCAAGACAACATGCTGAGACTCACCATTGTTGATATAAATTTTATGATTTTTAAAACAGTTACAAACTTAGCGTAAGCAACTGAGTGCCACAAGTCTTCAATATAAATACATAACCAAATGTAACTGAAAGAGGCAAACTACGAAGTAACAAAGTCATATACTAACTTGTCAAGAGCCTTAGCGGCCTCGTGAAGTCCATGGACTAGTCCTCCGTGGATGAGGGCCGTCTTCAGAACCTCCTGTAGGGCTGTGTTCACGTCCATGGCACCACCGCTCAAGACGGGGTTGGCGGGCACTTCACTGTTGAATAAAAGCAAAATTTAAACACTTAAATTGATAATTATGATAATATATTGTTGATTAAACATCATTATAAACCATATTTAGTAATAGTTCAGCACTATTGAGAACAATCAAGTTGTTGAACCGAAATGTTTTGAAGGTTATGTTGACAACATGTTTACAATTTTAATTTACAATATTACAGATTTACACTTGTAAATTCATTAGATAAGCAATATTTCGCATAAAATAAAGAAGGAATTAAGTTCCCAAAGGGATATTTACGCTAACACAGGCAAAAATTATAAGTACTTACACTTCGACATCAGCCATGGTTTCTTGTGATTAGACGACCTGAAATAGGAAATATAATAGATTGAGCGATACACCAACATGATTTTAAATACACTGTAGCCATTACAAGTTAAAAGATTGCGAAAATAATTCAAGATTCAGAGAAAGCGAACACAAAACGTTTGACAATTTACCTTGCGTACCGGAAAAAGACTAGTGCTGTCAAAAACATTTTTGAGTATGATAATAATTGGATTTTTATACTGGTAACATTCAATATACGAAACTTATAAAAAATCAAACTAAAATACTTATTACGAATTTGTGTAATAAATGTAATGGTATGAATTAAAACGGAAACAAAATTATTTTGCTTTGTGGTGATAACATTGACAACAATTTACTGAATATTTATAAGAGACCAAAAGAGACATTATAAAAAGTTTATATTAACCCTGGCAACTTACAATGAACTTTGATAAACTGCGGTAAGTTTAAAACAAAAGAGTGCCAACGCCACTGTCATTTGAATTTTGTAGCAATAATTTTATTTTATTTTGAAATTTCTTTATAAATATGTTTGTGTTGTGAAATCGTAGTGTTTTAGTGACTTATTTTACAAACTGTGTATTGTGCCTAGTTATAAAATATGAGTATTTTTGTATGTTAGAGATGTACTATCAATTAAGTTACGTATCATTGTTATTGGAATAATGAATCGAAGTCCTGATATACTGTTTATGGCAGAATATATAAAAAATGCATTATATTTTGCAACTGTAAGACAAGGAAAAACACTTAAGAATACCGTTGATACTCATTACTTTTGCATAGATAACGATTTAGTATACGAAAATTATTATTCTGACTTCGGGCCTTTAAATCTCGGTTGTGTTTATAAATATTGTAGAATATTAAACGAAAAACTCAAGCTGTATTTAAATAAGCAAACAATCGTTCATTACACTTCTATCGATCCGAAAAAGAAAGCAAATTCAGCATTTCTGCTAGGATGTTACGGTGTTTTGTATTTGAGTTTAACACCCAGAGATGCTTTGAAGCCGTTGATGGTCCATGGACAAAGCTACAGGTTTATCATTAATTAAATTAATTTATTAATTTTATGTAGACATTCACTAATGTATTTCCAACACCGTAGACCGTTCCAAGACGCAACGCAAGGTGAATCTGCTTACACGATATCACTTATGGATTGTCTACAAGCAATTAAGAAAGCTCGAGAACTAGGTTTCTTCAACTTTCAAGATTTCAATTATGAAGAATATGAAAGACTAGGAAAAATCCAGGGTGGAGATTTGAATTGGATTGTGCCTGGTAAAACGATGATCATTAAAAATAATTTTCATTATTATTACTTGACAGTTTGGTTTACAAATTGTTTTAATTCACTTATCTTAATATTTTCAGGTAAATTTTTAGCGTTTATCGGTCCAGTTGACTACAGTGTATCGCTTTTCCACCCGCCTGAAATGTATATAAACTACTTTTTGGAAAACAATGTCAAAGTAGTCATTCGTTTAAATAAAAGACTATACGACGGAAATGTGTAAGTAAATAAAGTTAAAATATTACATTTTAATTAAGGCATTGATTGACTTGCCAGACAAAATGTAGGCAATACCCGGTGTCTTGCTTTGTTGAAGTCTAGTATTTATAAATTTTGTTTTGGTTTTAGATTTACTAACATGGGTATAATTCACTATGATTTATTCTTTCCTGATGGATCCTGTCCAAGGCGACATATCCTATTTAAATTCCTTCAAATTAGTGAAGAAGCAAGTTGCGCAATCGCTGTGCATTGCAAGGTTACGAATTTAGTCTATTTGAGATACATTATTTGAATAAATTTATTTTCTGTTTCTGACGAATAACTTGTTCAGGCAGGTCTAGGGCGCACTGGCTCGTTGATTGGTTGTTACCTAATCAAACATTACCGGATGACGTCGCATGAAGCTATTGGCTGGATGAGGATTTGTAGACCTGGATCCGTCATAGGCCATCAGCAGGTAAAAATATGTAATAAACACAATAAAGTTAGATAACTATTACCAAAGTGATTTAGGAATCTAATTCATTTTCTTTTTTCTTTTTAAAGGGCTGGCTGGAGGAATTAGAGCCATGGCTGATGAAGCATGGAAATATTTATAGGTAAATTGGTTAAAATTTTATATAATCTTTGAATTATTACATTGTTACCAAAACATTACAGTTTATAATACTGATATAGTTACATAAATTGTTATGATGTTTTCACATCTCATATTGAGAATTAGCTAATGAAAATTGAAATTAATAAAGTTTTCGACAGAAAACGTATCTATCAGGACACTGAAAAGTTTCCCATGCATGAATTTGGCGTTTATTCAATCGCTGAAAAGACAATGAAACAGCGACCAGTACTTTTTCATAAATCGCCTTCACCACCGCCTCCGATCCAAAAGCAAAACATACGATCGGAAACAATAACTCCAGTGAGACCACAGAACTCTCGAATAAAAGAAGGTAAATTGTTGATTTTTTCTTTAACCTTTTGCACCTAGTTAAAGGTTAACATAACTTTAAATACTAGACTATTATTTATCCAAACAGTGTTATTTTTACTAACGTTATATTTTTTTTTATCTTAATACGGTTATATGTTATCTTACTAGAGTATTCGTTGTTCTGTTTAAAATAACACTGTTTGTACAATTCATTTTTCTTCCAGCAAAGCTTAACGCAACGCACCGTCAATTTACTCACAATATGTTGTAAACAGTGTTATTTTAAATACGCTTAGACGGAATAAAATATTAAGGGACTAGCATGAAATGAATGTATTTCGTTTTACGTTCAGACAACTTAGACAAAATGGAGCATGAAGAAGAAGAAATATTTATTACGGCATGCGATTTGACCGCAATGCCAACCAAAACAACTCAACTGAAAGGATGTATTATCAGAAGTGCTGAATTAGTTGATGAAGGTGATGAGAGTGATCAGCGCTCAGCGAAAGTTAATTTTTGGAGAAAATACGTGTGTTGCCAGTCATGTTTTAGAAAAGTTAACGATAGTTTGTGGATGTTGGCGGTGCGTTGTACAAAAGCCAGTCCTCGATTTTGTAACGGGACAGGTTTATGCAGTGTAATAGATGGGGTGTGTATGATACAGTAATTGATATACGTGTGCAGTTGTGATATTATACGTAGAGTAACAATGCGTTTTAACTGCTTGTACTATCGGTTTCAGTTTTTAACAAGACGCAGGAGAAGGAGTACGACTGGCACGTGAAACCGCAAAATTTAAACACTAGTCAGCAGAAGGTGTTGTATAGAGGGTGAGATATTTTTTATTATAGTTTTCAGTTTGACTGTAGAATTCCAAGAGATTTTTTTAATGTTGCCCCACACGTTACTAATATTTTATGCAGATAATAAGAGTTTTAAAGAACGTATGCTAGAAGGGTGATTGACAACAATTTAGTATAATGGGAGGCAAGTATGATGACAAGGTATGAATGTATGTTTGATTGCATACACTCGTTACATCAACAGCCTGTTTTGGTTTGGGCATTAATCATTACGCCTACTCGTGGTTGATAGGTTATACACTCATACAATTATTCGATTTGTAAAGGATACTATTTACTTTGTTATTAATTAATTATGTATAATTACTCTAGAGACCCATATGACTCATACAATAATGTGTCGCGTCGCAGTAGTGGTGCAGGCGATCCTAAAGCCAGTCGACCAACATCTAGGAACTCTGTAACACGTTCACAGATGCCAAGAGAAAGTCTTAAGTCTAGTATTAGGGTAAGTATAGGCAAAAGTCACTTCTCGCATTAGACCTAATTTGAAAACAAATTTAATAATAAACACCTGCTTTATTTTCTTATTTTAGGAGCCCGACATTAAAAACTTGCGTGGATACACCCCTATAACGACTTTTCGGACTAGCCAAGCTCCAGTTATTAAAAGCGTCAATGACGCTAGGGTAATTATGTCTTTATTACTTTTGTCTTTGCGATGTGCGCAGGTTTAAATGTTGTACAATTTGTCATATTTCATGTCTTGTTATGCTATATTTTCCTAAACATTAATTAAATAAACTGTTGTGAAAAGTAAGAACATTATTTTGACTTTCAGAACTACTTGATGCGAAGCAGTATTTATAACTCGGAGAGAGAGAAACAGTTAAATTCATCAGTAACCGTGACTCCACACTATCCTTATTATACGAGCCGTCTACAAAACCAACCATTGTTGAGTTCACCTATGGCTAGTATAGGAGCGCATATTACTCCATCATCTTACAGCACGGGTGCGAATTACCATAGTATATCATATCTTTGTACATCTATCTTCCATTTCTTATGTATGTAATATGTAATGTATATGTGGTCTTAATTCCGTTATCAGCAGTATTAAGTACGCCGTTATAAAACAAGTAACTAATGCAAAATAATAAACACTATCACAGGACCTAAACTACCGGGACAGCCCCAAATACGACGAAGACTTGGACGAAGTCCAAGTCCTCCTGTTCGTATGCCCAATGACCAGTCCCGGGCCACAAATACACCTTCACCAACAGAGAAGTTTTTAGTGAAGTATGCCTCCAAATCTGCGTTGAAAGATGTATTCTCTAAACTGAAATGTAAGTTTCATAGGGTTTTCTTGGATTGTTTTCATTTTAGTTTTATTAGTGTAAAACGTAGATTTGCAATAGCTTTACCAAACTCAAACTCATACTCAGTCTTTATTTACCAATCAGACAAACATAGTAATAATAAATCTTACTTTAAACTTCTCGCATAACCCCAGCCGTTTCTTCTTTTAAATAGAATTGGCAATATTTTTAAAAAGAGAATCAGATGTCTGTCAAATTAACAGCAATGTCACAATTGTCAAATCAAAAGTATAACCTCATCTTTATGATGCAATTTAGAATACTCAATAATAAAACGATGTTTACGAAGTGAATTGACGTGATTTAGTTTATATTAATTGTGCTATTGCCACCTGAGATGGGTGCCTTAGTGACTAAAGCTTTGAGACCTATTAAAACCTTTAACATCGAAAATCGCGCTCATCGTGAGATTGCTAAAGCAAAACCAACTCCGGCTCCAAGATATCCTGAAAATATAGCAGATTTGCAACGTACTTTGGAAGCGGATCCTAATATAGATGAAAAACTTGATAGAAAAGATGAAGAGCTCGATAAAAGATTAAAAGATGTTTATGTAACCTCATTTGGAAGGCCCGAGGATGATGTTACGCGTGAAAAGCAGACTAAGCATAAGAGTTTGCGACCTTTGCCACAGGATCGCAAAATGCCTGAACAATACGACTTTGGTTTCAAGGAGCCAGAGAGAATACCGTATGGGCGAACTACTCTGAGAGCTGCCATAAACTTTATAGCATCTCATCAAGCGAATCCCGAGGAAGTGACGGCCGCTAAGATAGCTCTAGAGTATAAACTAAAGGAGGAGGATGTTCACAGTATACTTAAGTATTTCAAGACTTATGAGGTTTACATACCAGAGACAAAGACATCACCAGCCATGTTTGCTGGACCGGCCCAAATGAGGAAACAGTTGTACAAACTCGATACTAAGGAATTAGAAGATAATAAATCAAAGGAAGATGCCTCCACTACTCAAGAAAATGTGAAAGCTAAGGATGCAGTCTAGTTATCATTTAGTGACATTAAAGTAAATAAATTGATCAAAATAATTACCTCAACATGTTATTGCTAATTATTATTATGAAATGGAGTTTTTAAGAACAAATTGGATTTTATTATGTGTATTGGGATAAACTTTGTAGGTATATTATGTAGAGAACTAAGGTTCTGCCTAGATTTTTAACTTAATTGTTGACTAGGTTCTACTTAAATCTACATAACGGTTATTCTATGTGAGAAAATAATGAAATTCCTATAAAATAATTCGTTTTTTTTCTGTTATGTATTAACTGGATCATGTTAGGTAATTATTGAATAGATTATCATAAAATAGATATTTATATTAATATAACGGATGTTGATAGCAATATCTAGGTCAATGTGATTTAGTAGTTAGAAGAAATAAATGGTTTTGTTTTCATCTATTTTAGTTTTATTTTCTTGGTAGACGAGGTAGAGATAATGAAATTTTCTAAATGCACATGTTTTGTTTACTTTCTAAGTGCGTTCTACAATGGTTTCCTCCAGTATTTGGAAATTGGTTCAACCTCTCTTTTTATTCAATGTGTACTTATCATTGTTTGAATAATACATCATTCAATGGTGTTCTCGTATTTCAATAATACTAATAATAACATCTTGGCTTAGATGAAAATTAAATTGATCTTTATCTTTCCATAGTAGACCTACATTACAAAATTTCAAAGACAAGTAGGTACCTAATCTAATAAAATAATTTTAGAACTTACTTGTTACCTAACTCTGAGTAAATAGTGTGTGTTGTTGGCAATGTTGTCGGTGGCCCAGTGTCGATGTGCCGGGACGGGTCGCTGGGCGCGGCGTCGTTGGGCGCCACTAGAGACGCGCCCACAACGCGCCGCGCCCCATCTGTGCGCTCCGACGAGCGACCGTTAGCGACGCAGGGAGACATGCTCAATAGCATCAAGGTACAATGATTCATATACGGTTTTTACTTGCTTACTACAAAACACATAACATAAGCGGAACTAGAGCCAGAATTATATTCTCTTTGCTAGAACCTATTACCACATACAGTTCTCTATACGGTGCCATTGTACATGCCCTAACTGTGTTTCTCCTTTGCCATTATATGTGACACACTATACAAAATTGGATAAGTCATCATTCATATAAATATTACAGTTCCAGAGAAGATTGCGTGATACTATAAATGCAGAGAAAACTGGTAACTTTCATGAGAAAGCCAGGTAATAAGACCTACTCGATCTATTAGTTTGGTACAATCATATTTTCTTGCTTTTACTAAATTACTTCTCTTGTGTTGTTCAGTCAGCTGCCTAAAAAGCCTAGTATCAAAAATATGAACACTAGAACTACCAATTTGGTAAAACCGAATATTAATCAAGATTACAGGTGAGTACATATTTTTCATCTATGCCTATTGCCTGCTCTTTCAGGGAGTAAAAAGCGTAATGTTATGACCAAAATAACAGTATTTATGCAGGGTTTCACCGAATTAAAATCATAGCTTCATTTTTACCCAGAATTACTGGCTATACCTAATTATTAAAATATAGAAAATTCGAATTCTCATGGAAATTGCTACACATAATTTTTAAACACAGGTTTAATGAATATTATTTAGGTATTTATGTAACCGAGGGTTGTTCTGGGAGGAGGCGTATGTTCAGTTGTGAATGTCTTGGATGATGTTGATGAACTGGTTTTATTCCAGCGGCGGCAGGGAGAAGCAGAGCCCAATATCTCGCAGTTTCTTCAGCCCTGCGCGGCCGATGTCACCGAAAGGCCGCCGAAGTCCGCAAACGACCAGCTTCTACTGACCACGTCAGTTTACGCAGCCGTAACAAATTGTGTATTGACGTAATAAAAGTAACTTTCATTACAAATTGTTTTATTTAATTATTTACATTACATCTATATTTACATTTTATATACATTTTTATAGTAAGTACCTTCTTACTTAGGCAATTTGAGGGATGGGAAATGATTGTAATTTATTTACATGCAAAAATAAACTTTTCTTTATCTACAGCGGAATAGGTACAAATCGTGAATTTTTTAGTGGACATTAATTAATATAGCTTATAATTGACACATTTATTTCATTTAATACCCATTCATCAAGCCATCGCGGCGCGGCATATATGAACATCAAGTTACCTAAACAGTCGTATTCTTTCGATTAACAACCTTATTACTTTGATATAGAATTGAAAATCTACTGTTTGGGGTAGTTTAATGTTCTGTAAGGTACATTAATTTGTAAGTAAGACATTGGCTAGAGCAAGAACTCGCGGCGAGTCGTCGATGTTTACCACGATGACATTAGTCTATTGTAATGATAGTACTAAAAGCTCAAAAACGACTATACATAGTACTCTGTATAGACGTTTTTAAGCTTTTAATTTGTCTAGAAAATTCATTAAAACTGAACAGAGAGAAAACGAAAATTCTAATATCTTTTGTTGGTCCTCAAACCGCCTACCATGCGTGGGTATTCAACAGTGGGCGTTCCTATTATACCTATCTAGATATAGTGGAGCTAGATATAGTGATGATGACAAAATACACTTAGGAGCAAAGAAAGCAAACCACTAATGTTATTTCTTTTTCATTTCTTGATGCATATTTCATCACTCAATTTTACTCCACACTACTAATTTTAAATTTTAGAGGTAAATGAAAAAAAAAAAATAAACGCTAGTGGGTTCGTTTCTTTGCTTCCAATTGTAACGTATGTTGTCTTGCCGTCTAATGCCTCTCGCGCGCCTCTCGTACACACGGGTAAATATTTTAATAGAAAAGCGAATTAACTATTCTGTTCAATCAAATAAAGAACGGGTTGCAAACTTGAAAATATACGTCACAGAAAAAATATCCAATCGGTGCGCGTTTCTCGTACACCTGTGTGTACAATTGCGCGATGGGCACTCAACTCTCTCGTACACCCGTGTGTACGAGAAACACGCGAGAGGATAGACTAAGTGACAACTACGCTAGACCCGGGTCAGGCGGTGGCGGCGCCATACAGTTGCCGTCCGGGTATCGTTTCTTAAAGGCTGCGATTAAGTCTGGATCTACTAAACGTACGCCGTCCACTTGATTACCTAGCGTGATCCTGTAATGAAAGAAATTGTTTTGAGAGGTATAAAGACATTGAATAAGAACATACTCGGGTCTAAGTTAACAATGCTGATGTATTGAATTCAAATAAAACTCATTCTTAAGTGGCTAAGATACGAGTTCAGGAGTATACTCAATTATCAATAAAAATATTATTAACTTGGATACATACCAATTAGGTTGAACATTGTGTGGCCTGCCAAACAGTTCTATTTTCCTTGTCCCTGGACTGAGTCTCTCTGAAATAATTTAATTGTTTATAGTACACTAGCTACTTCCGCGCGGTTTTACACGCATTGCTCAGCTCCTATTAGTCGTAGCGTGATGTTTTATATATAGCCTATAGTCATCCTAGATAAATGCGCTATCCAACACAAAAAGAATTATTCAAATCCGACTTGTAGTTACGGAGATCAGCGCGTTCAAACAAACAAACAAAAAAACAAACTCTTCCGCCTCACTACATAGTATAAAACAAATTCGCTTTCTCTGTCCCTATGTCCCTTTGTATGCTTAAATCTTTGAAACTAACGCAACGGATTTTGATGCGGTTTTTTTTAATAGATAGAGTGATTCAAGAGGAAGGTTTATATGTATAATACATACATATTGGTCGCTAGTTATATAATAGTATAAGATAACAATTCCAAACTTTATTTTCATCTTTTTTGTGTATTATGTATGGTTTGTGAGAGATTTAATTATTTTGCTTATGAATAAGAGTCCCGTTGGTAGTTGAGTATTTCTTGAATAGTTCTATATCTGTATCATACTAATGTTATAAATGTCTATTTGTTTGGATGTTTGTCCGTCAATCACGCTGAAACTACAGAGCGGATTTTGATGACATTTGGTATACAGGCAGGGTATGGGTTGACTTAGGGTGATAGGATACTTTTATCCCGATTAAATGCTTACATGGAATAAAACAGGAATTATATTCTACGCGGACAAAGTCGCGGGCAACAGCTTGTTTTTAAATTAATTTGTTTTTTTCGTATTAAATCTTGGTCCATAAAAGTAGGCAGTCGTCACTCACCGATGATGCCGTAGATCTCGTCTGGTTTGTGCGAGGTGGCGCGCACCTCGGCTACGATGACGTCACAGTCCAGGCCACGGTTCAAGTTTTCTGGACTGCCCTTCATACCAACCTGCAAGTTAATACATATAAGAAACAATACTTAGATAAAACGAACCAAAGTTTAGGAGTGAGGTAGCTACGTCATTTTAGAGTATAAATCGAGACTGCCTCGATGGCCAAGTGGTCGCAAGTGCGACTGCCGGGCAAGGGGGCTCGGGTTCGATTCCCGGGTCGGGTTTTTTTAAAAAAAATCTCAGTAGTAGCACGGAGTCTGGAAAAGTCCCCGGTATATGGCAATAGGCTCGCCCCAAAAAACGGGTCTCATAACATAAATAGTGAAAAGTGGGTGTTACTTTTGTGTGCACCTCTGCCTACCCCTTGGGGAGAAAAGGCGTGATGTTATGTTAATCGTATTCAAAAGTGACGTTGTTATATTTCAAATCAATATATCTTCGAAACTATTCGTATCCGTAAGAAAATAATAAATACATGTCTAATGATTTTAAATAATCTACCAGACGGACATTAAAATAAAAATTAGTCATCTAACCTATTATATTAACTCGATATCACTTACCAAGCAGTGTTCCTTGCCGTGGTTCAGCCAGTGCCCAGTTCGGCCAGTACGTATGATCCGCTGTAGTTGGTTAGTCTTCACCCAGATCAGTTCATCCACTCGCTCGTAGCCCCATAGCTTGAGGCACTCGCGACCTAGTTCCATTGCTCTGTAATAAAACATCCCAACAAATATAGGAATTGCGAAATTAAGTTTGTACAAATACATATTTAAATTTTAACTAAAATCGCGGGTTACTCACGTGAATATACTGAGAAAAGCTCTACTAGTTTCGAACCACAGAGGGGTTCTTCCTCATGAGCAGCGTGCATGGCACGTCTGCGCCCTCAAAACCCAACGCCACCTAAGATATACGGGTTGCCCAAAATCCACAAGCCAAACTGGCCCCTAAGACCAATAGTTAGTCAAATAGACGCACCTACCTACAACCTGTCGCGTCATTTGGCTACTATACTGCAACCGTTTACCGGTAAAACAAACACCTTTGTGAAGGACTCCCGCCATTTTGTCGCCTTATTGGAAGATGTTCGCCTCCAAGACACAGACATTATGATAAGTTTCGACATAACATCGCTATTCACAAATGTTCCTGTAGATGAAACGATATCTATAATTACCAACATACTTAAGGACACTGAT